CGTTTATCTAGACTCGTGAAGAATGAAGTGTTACCATCTCTCGATTTCAATGATTTTGGAACATGTGTCAAATGCCTTAAAGGTAAAATGACATCAGTGAATAAGAAAGGTGCCACTAGGAGTTCTAATTTATTAGAGCTCATCCACACTGATATTAGTGGTCCTTACTCTATCGCTGGCATAACTGGACATAACTCATTTATCACTTATATTGATGATTATTCTCGTTATATGTACTTATATCTCATTAAGGAAAAATCTGAATCACTTACAACTTTTAAAGATTATAAAACTGAATTTGAAAAACAACTTGATCGTCAGATAAAAGTTGTAAGATCAGATAGAGGAGGAGAATATTATGGTAGACATACTGATGTGGGTCAAGCTCCTGGTCCATTTTATGAGTTTTGTAAGGGCGAGGGGATCGTGAATCAATATACTATGCCTGGTACTCCTCAGCAGAATTGTGTTGCTGAGAAAAGAAATAAGACCCTAATGGACATGGTACGCAATATGTTAGCCAACTCAGGTTTACCTCTATTTCTCTGGACCGAGGCCTTAAAAACAGCCGTTCATATACTCAATAGGGTTCCTTCTAAAGCTGTCCCTAAAACTCCTTATGAACTCTGGACAGGAAGGAAACCGAGTCTGAGATATATGAAAGTATGGGGTTGTCTTGCCGAAGCTAAACTTTATAATCCCTTCTTAAAGAAACTCGACATGAAAACTGTAACTTGCTACTTCATTGGTTATCCTTCTCACTCAAAGGGTTACAGATTTTATTGTCCTTCCCACGTCACTCGCATTGTAGAAACCAAAGATGCTCATTTCCTTGAAGATTTTAAGGTCAGTGGGAGCAGTGAAAACTCTTATGATGAATTGCTAGAAGTACAAGACGCGGGGGGGAGAGACTTGTCAATTACTTTACCTCCAATTACTCCTCTTGTACTCAATGCCAATCCGCAGGACACTGCACCACCTCCTACTCCTAATGTACCTGGAAATGAAGACACCTCAAATAATCACCATCAAGACAATGCCGCCAATGCTCAACCCGATAATTTGCTCAGGAGGTCATC